AAATATAAGCCTAATTATAAAGTTATCAAATAAAATATTATTTATTTTATAGATAAAAACTTTAGTTTAATTTTTTATAATTAAATTTAAAAGTTAAAATTATTAAAATAAAATCAATAATTACTTATTTTAATATTAAGATTTATTCTAAAGTTTTACTTTTTTTTAAAATATATCTTTTATTAAGTTCAATATTATTAAACAAATTTTTAATTTTATTATTAATAATAGAGTTATGAACTAATAAAATGTATCTTTAGGATTTCTTGTTAAAAATTTTTACTTTAATTTAAATTTAACGCATCCAATTATATAAAAAATTTAAATTTTATTATATAAAATAATCAAATATAGTTTTGTTTCATTATTAAACCTTCAATAAACTTAAATATTAATTAAAATTTATTATATATAGGAATATTTTATGATCTATAATAAGATTTTACTGAAAATGCTTTTATAAATAAAATAAATAAATTTTTTTTACTTTAAATAATACTTTATTATAAATACTAAAAAATATAAAAGAAAATATATTAAATAATAAATTTATAATCAAATTTATATAATTAGCTATAATTTTAAAATATTAAATTTATATATATAGTAAACTCGTGATATAACAAATCCTAATATTTGAATCTCAACTTCATTATAAGCTTATAATGAAATTTTAAAGAATTTAATTAGTTAGTTCACTATAGTAAGGTAAATTTAATATATTTGATTTAAAATTCACTATATCAAGAGTTTGTTATATCAAAATTTAGCTGTATATATAATTATAATTAATAATAATTAAATTTTAAAAAAAGCTTTTTATTTATTTATTTTTTATTATATAAAATTAAAAATAATTTTTTATATTTTAATATAAATTAAAGTTAGTTTATAAAATTATGATTTGAATTAATAGAAATTAATATATAAAAATAAAAAAAAAATTATATAAAAAAAATTTTTATAATTTTTTATAATAAAAAGACTGTTTGTATTAATTATTTATTAATAAGATTTTTTTTTATGTTTTCTCTATTTATTTATATAAAGAATATATAATTAATATTTAAATTATAATTAGGAAATAGAAACTATTGCTAAGTCTAAACATGTATAATATAGTAGTTTTACCTAGATATTTATTTATTCACAATTAAATGATATGTGATATCTATTATAGATATTAATTATTATTTATGAAGAATCAAATAAATTCAGATATATATGCATTGATAAATTTAGATCACAAATTATCTGGATATATATTTATGTAGATAATAATAAATAAAATGAATAAAAACTTTATTTATTTATTATTATCATCTAAATTTATTATATTTATCATTTATCAATATGCTAACTTTTTTTTTAACTGATAAAATAAAGATCTTCTATTACATATAATCTTATTATTAGCATTAAAATATAAAATCAAATAATATATTATTTACTTAAATGAAAAACCCTAGCTAAACGTCAATTCTTTTTATAAAAAACCAAATTTCTAATATATTTGATGCCAATTATGCTTTTTTTTTATAGATATTGTATTAATAGTCTCACTAAAATATCTCTTATTCAAAACTAAGATGGCAGAATTGCTAAGTATTTTTTGTTAATTTTAATAGTATTGAATATCAAGCTTAATTATTTTTTATACTAAAGTAAAGTATAATTGTTAAAATAGATCTTAATCAAAGCTAAATAATTATTTTATTAATACAAATGGAATCATTTTGAAATATTCTTATTAACAATAAATTTAATAAAATAGGTCTAAATTCAATTTCTTGATTTTCTCAATTGAGTTTTTTATATTTTGATAAACAATCTTTAATTATTCATGAGTTGTATTATACAATGATTCAGATGCAAATTCTAATTCTTTGAATCATAGCTTTAATGAAGTAGCTAATATTCTCTATTTTATGAAACTTCTCAATAATTATTAATAAATTAATATAATATTGCTTTAATATAATTTTTAAGGTTTGTACAATTTTGTGATATATTAATACAAATTTTTATATTTTTAAGTTATTTAGTAATAGTCTCATCTTCAGATGTATTTTTATAACTAATATCAAAAACTGTATTTGAATTAGTAAAATCTACAAATTTCACATTATTAGAATTATCAGGTATCAATTTATTCAATTTATAGTTAATTATTACTAAAATATTATATATTAGACTAATGGTTGTATATATATTTTTACCTAAAGATTTAGTGATTTTAACAAAATCTTCTAAATAATTATTAGTTTAATTATTAATTTCTATTTATCTTTTATTAGATTTATTTATTTTAATATTTCCTATCTTATCATATTAAAAGATCAGGATTAATCATTTAATCATTATAGTAGATGCCAAAATATCAATAAGATCTTTGATTTTTATTAGGCATTTTTATGTAAGATAACTGAAATTCTATTAGTCAAAGGTATTTATCATTTTTTTTTAAATTATGTAATGAAAATATAATATATTAATAATTTTTTATATATTATTAAATATATATATATATTTTTTTATTTATTATAAAAAAGATAAAATATGTTAAAAATGAAATATTAATTAAAATATATTTAATAATTTAAATTAAATAAACCATCACTGTTATTAATTAAATTAAATAAAACTAAAAAAGTCTATATTAATATAAATAATATAATTATTAAATAAAATACTACATATAATTAATAAAACAAGTTTTTTTTAGATTTCTATTAATTTTTCAGTCTGTTTTGGAGTTTAAAAAATTAAATAACCTTTTAGCCCTTACAATTAAAGCTTTGGCTGAAAGCAATCCCTTTTCTATAACTAATTTAAAGTATATGCAGGCAAGGAAGTTTTATATTTTCATCCATTAGTTTTTCAGCTCGAATTATATTAGAATTATTATCAGTAGTTACTGTAAAAATTGTAAAAATCTTACTAGTTAAATTCCAATCAGAAATAATTTCATGTAATATATTACAAATATAATCACTAGTATAAGGATATAATATATGTATATTTAACTGCTAAAATTGCTTCACAATAATTGAAATCATTATCAATAAAAGAACATGAAATACTAATACAGTATATCCACTTCAGTTTTGAGCTGTCTATAAATCTGTTATTATAGAATAAAAAAATAAATTATTCAAGCTTTATTATTAAGACTTTTTTGGTTTAATTATATTATATGATTTAGCTAATAGTTTTTGAATTACTTTATTGCATGGAATTTGATAATTTGATCAAATTCATGGATAAAAATACTTCATTATTGTATATATTAATTGGCTGATTATCTTTAATTAAGATTGCAATGAACTTTCAGTCTCGACGATGTTGAATTTTTGGATTATTCATAATAATTGCTTGCATTATTTCATCTATATGGGTTGTGATAAATTGGTTTTTTCTATTTCATTCATATTTCTTTTGTGATTTTCTTCAGTAATTTGATGTATAGAAAGGTGAAGAATAAAATTGCCAGTGAAACTATCATTTCCCATAAAATGATTGCATAGTTCTATGTCAATTTTTTGCTGAATCTGAGCCAAACATTTCACAATCCTTTTGTATAGTGCAACTGGGTTATATTGATCAAATACCCTCATATCCAACTTGGTCCTGGTGGTTTGGCATTTGGAATTAAAATTGGTTAACTTATTTTATTCAATTATTTTTTTGTGAATTCGTGTTAGTTTTTGCTGACTATTTGCATAGTATCCTAATTCAATTACAGGTGTATTTGAATTCCGTTTTGATACTTTGTGTACATTTTTCTTGGTCTTTTCGACCCCTTTATTTAAGAATCTAAGACTTCGTAATCTTCTTGCGGTATTACAATCCTATCACTAGACATTATTAATAGAAAAAAATTATGTGAAACAATATTACCTCCTTTCGGTTAGCATTGCGTAGAAGTATATATTACACATTTTATACATACATCAGTGTTTAATGATCAGAATCGATTATACAAATTACATTTAGATAATCAGATACCTGCTGCAGATATCCATGGGTATCTGCATATCCGTCCGTCATATAAATTAAAATCATTAGTGTAATGAAAGTAACCAATCACATACCAACTAAATTTTTGATCGAGGATATTTTTGTGTTATGCATTCTAGATAATATATTCATTAACTTCTGAACTAATAAATAATATAGGTGATTTGCTATTATAGTGTGAAACCTCTTTAAATACACTCTCTTGAGATTATACATTTTAAAAGAATATGTAGTTAAAGAGAGATATTTGTATAATCTTAATATACTTAGAGCTGTGTGACGTGTATATTTATAGAAAAAATATATAATATATGCATTTAGAAAGATGCATTTTGAGAGGTCTTATTATAAAATCAAGTTACAAACAGTAAATCATATGATCTGTAATGACTTTAATAGCAAATCACCTATATGCCGAGAAAAGTTTCAAAATTTATAATACCTTTTTTTCTATAAACCCAAAATTATATTTATTTATTTTAAAGAATTATATTAATGTGAATGGGTAATACCAAGTAAGAAACAGTCATTCTTTATTAATATGATTTTTCTATCATTTCGCGAAAATTAGCTTTTTTCTTTTTTTTAAAGTTATCGTTAAAGAACCGGCAAATTGAATTTCCAAAATTTTTCGTCAAAAATATTAACTTTGTATAATGAAAGTTAGCTTGTGATTTAAATTACGGTGTAAATTTGTATGAAATGTCAAAAAACATCATTTACAATGACGTGTAAGAAATTTATTAAAATTCGTTTGAATTAACAAAAAAAAAAAAAAATATTGAAAAATTTATCGGCAAATAATTTAAATAGTTTTATTTAAATACAAAAATCGTGACGAATTTACGATAGTCCGGATTTCTGTAAATAGTCGTAAATCCTTCCAAATCAAGCACAATCACAATCCTTAAAAATAAAACTGCGCTCGAATGATTTATGATATATATACGTTATCTTGAATTCTAACCAAATAATCATCAATGGATCAACACTTCAAGTATAAAATCGACTTTTTAATATCCAACGACACACCTTTGGGTCAACAACCAACACAGCCCGTAGTTAAAAACACAAGGAAATCAAAACCAAGGGTATATAAGAAAGGAATAAGTAAGATATGTAATGAATGTGAAAAAGTAAGAATGCATTTACATGAAAGTCACCTTACTTGTCACATTTGTTATAAGGCAAGCACAATCTTCAAGCAAAGTGGGAACATGGTTATTGATGATTTTGTCAAATATGCACAAATTACACAAATTAAAAGTTATATCGGAGGTGGGAAATTGGAGTGGGTTTCCTATGACCAATTCAAAAATGTGCAATTTGTCGGCAAGGGAGGATTTAGCACCATTTATAAAGCCATATGGATTAATGGTCCAATTAAATTTTGGAATAATAAAATACAAATGTATGATAGGAGCCCTGAAAAGTTGGTTGCCCTTAAGAAATTTGATGATTCCAAAAACTTGACTTCCAGAGAACTTTTAGAGGTAAACATCCTGTACTTTTATTTTCTTTCTTTCATTCTAATGTGAATTGATAAAATCAATTTTTTTCTTTAGCTCAAGATATCTTATGCTGTCAGATTGGAAGTATCCAAGAGCTACATTAGCCAATATTATGGGATTACACAAGATCCCATTACCAAAGATTTTATCATGATCATGGAATATTTCCAGTCAGGAGATCTGACCCAGCATTTAGCTCGAACATTTTACGACATTAATTGGTCAAAAAAATTAGGACATTTACTTAATATCACATATGGTCTTAATATGATTCATAAGAAAGGGATCATCCATCGGGATTTTCATAGTGGAAATATCTTGATAGATGAGTTTTCGAAAATCTGTGATTTAGGATTAAATAAGTCTGCTACTAAAGCTGAAGATGATGAAACCTATGGAATCATTCCTTATTTGGCCCCAGAGATTCTTCACGGACAACATTATACTAGAGATTCAGATATTTATAGCCTCGGTATGATTATGTGGGAGGTAATGACAGGCAGAAGGCCTTTTTGGGATCGAGTACATGATGTTGAACTTATTATTCAAATATGTGATGGACTTCGTCCCCCAATTGATAATATGAATGCACCTGAAGGTTATGTTCAATTAATAAAAGAATGTTGGAATCCCAATCCAAATAAAAGACCAACGGCTAGGGTCATTCATGCTATAATTTCTAGTATTAGAGTTACCGAAAATATGTCGCCAACTGTTATTGTAAAATCTTCAAATATTGGACCTGTAACGAACAACCTCGGTGCGATATATAAGAGTAGATCTTTGAACAACATGATAACATCTGCAATGTCTATAAGAGGTTTAAGAGGAGGTCAATCTAATTCAAAAAGAGATAAACGAAAGGATCTAGGTAATCTGATTGAAGATTATAAATATAACGGTATGTTTTAATTTAATGTAAATTTTTTAAAAAAGAAGCATCAATTAATTTATAATATTTCGACCTTTAGATAGAAGAAATAAAAAAATTAAATTATTAAAGATGAAAGAGTTAAATAAATAAATATATGTGAGTAGATATATTAATATTATTGCGGCACTTTATTTTTTATGATTTGCTTAATTTAAACGATAATTTTTGTTTATGTTATAGAATGACTTGGCGAGGAATTTGATTTTTGGACCTTGAGATTTTTGAATTTATGTATATATAAAGATTTCTAATTTTTTTTTTATTGTATAATATCAAGCTTCTTTATGTATTATCGTTATGGTTGAATGTTGTCTGTAAGTATCTCATAGGCGCATTACCGTAAAAGCACGTCCTAAAGATGCTCTGAGATATTTAACATTTTTTTTCTCATGATTTTATATTTTATTATATTACTATAACTATAAAAACAAATATAAATAAATCATTTATCTTTATTTACCATTTCATAATGGTATCAATTTGGAAATATTTAGAATTTTAAGTCTTTTCATTTGGGCTTTTCTGCACGTATAAATGATCGTAAAGAAGTTACGTATATGTATGAACCGGAACATTGAATTAATCTTCTTTCATAATTCAATGTAAAATACTCTTGGATTTTAACATAAATATATGAGATCATTGACAATTTTGCAGTTGGATCAAGGTCACAGCGTATCTCGAGAGGAAGAAATAGCTGATATAACTTTTTAATGAGTCATGTACAAAAGGATACGCAAATGGTTGTTATTACTTTGATATTAAGTTATTTAATCGTTATGTAATACACATTTTCTATTTTCTTTCCTTATTTCACCGTCTCTGTTTATTTTTTCATTTCTATTTATTTAAAACTAAACATTTAACTGGAACCATGCTTAATAACTTTTTGGAATATATATCCAAAATTATTAATTCTTTGGCTATCCAATTCTTTCAAGCAATTGGGCATTTTGCAATAGTAAGGGAGGAAACTGCTAAAAATAAAAAAAAAGCCATTAATGAATTTTTTCTTGAAAAATTTATTAATATGGAATCATTTCTTGCCTACTATAGATTGAGTGATTAGCTGGATTGAATTTTTAATATGTACTAATGTTTGCTTGATTTTTCTTAAAAGCTAATTAGAAAATGTCTTTCGGATTCCTTTAGTTCTTACCGGCAACAAACAATTATGATTAGGAGTTATTACAATAAAACGCTTGCTTTTGAAATTCAAGTTGTTTGTAATCAATAATATTATACCCGTCAAAAAAGTTTGAATATTTAATACTAAATCGAATTCGTACGGGAATACAGTAGAAGTCATTGAACAAAATAATTATATAATCAATATCGCACAAGACGAAAAATTAAAAATCTACTTTAGTTTACATACGAACATCTTGTTTTTATTATCTCGTGTTAACTTTTACGGTGGTCTATTGTATCACTTTTAAGCATCTCGTGATTATTTATTTACACTCTTTTAATTCAAATTTTTTTTTCATTTTCATAATTATTTAGAAAATGCATCCGTTTCTTATTGAAATGAATCTTTATTTATTACTTGACTTTTTTTATACCACCCAAATATAAGGTACATTTAATATTACTATCGATAATTTCATAGCTGCGCCTCACATTATGCGAGACTGATAATTTTTTATTTTAGGGAGCATCAATAATTAATTCTATGATAAATTATTTATTACATTACGCTTTTTTTATTTTTTTTTTTTTTTTTAAAAAAAAATATTGATAAAGTTGAAAAGTTAAATTATCATTATTTTACTCCAATGCGTTTATGGTATGATTTAATCAATTTTGATATACTTTTTTTTTTTTTTACTACAGTTGTAAACCGTTGATGCGTTAAGTCAAAGTCTGGTGTTAATCTTTGAGTTCTTCCATTTCTTAATTGAACTGCATGATTTATTACAAAAATAAGAAAATGTGTTAAAATCTTGAGAACGCTAAAGGGTGGAGACGTAAAACCTTTCGTCGCTGATCCGGATCAGATGGCTACGATGATGAACCAATAGAGGTAAGATTTCGGATCGATTCAAGATGATTTTAAAGATGCTTAATTGAAACATTCTATGTTGCAAGTACAGATTTTCATATTCTAAGCGAACTTCTTCATCGGCATTATTCCAGGCTTCAATGATTTTTCGATTCTTGAGTGGTCTATACAAGCTTTTATTCGTCGTTTTCAAGACATCATTTTTGAAAAGCATGAAGGGTTCAAGTTTGTTTGATTTCTTCGGATAAAAGTTAAAGAATGTTCCCACATCAAGAATTCATAATTCGGTTTTAAAATCACGACTTGTTTTGTAAAATGATCTTGATCAACGTTTAATATATACCTCATCATTGAAATTTCGGCAATAGAAAAAAAAAGCAAATATTTATAAAAGTTTCTTCGTAAAGCAAAAAATTAACCCTTTTAACCTTTTTGAAAATTACATATAAACTGTATATATAAATCAATTATTTTAAAAAAAAGTAGATTTACATAAAAAGCCATACCCGAAATGATCTAAGAGTGTAGATTGTATTAGATCAAAAAAGGCCACCTTCTTATAGAAAACTTATCATTGTTCTCGATCTTGTTATCAACTTGCTCTTACATTTTCAAAGATTCTTTTCAAATGACTGAAAGGAAAAAAAAAATAATATTAAAATGCGTATAATGTTCCATGATCAAATGAATATTCATATGCAAATAATCAGGAGGCTTCACAAGAGTTCATATAATTAGCCTGATTACCTAATAGAATTGGAATTTAGCAACCCAGTTTTACTGAAATAATAAGGAGATCATTAATAATAAAGATATACAATTCACCATCACGCAATCACACCAAGGCTCTGAAATTGCCGAATGTATGTAAATTAATTGAGCGCATATTTCAAATTTTATTATTACTAAACATTTAACTTCGAAATTTTTCTACAAACTATGGCGTTATATATGGTGCTGAAATAATTAATGAATCTAAATTTCCAACTCAGAAATCAATTATAAGTCACAGAAAGGGTCGGAAATAAATTATTTTTCTTTTCTTTTTTTTTAATATCAAAAAATCCGAAAAATCTCACGTACGTTGAAGCCGTGATCTGTAACTGCGGCGATCATCTGATTTAGTTGACAAATATGACAGATTGGTCATATTTGACC